AAGAATTCGGCCAGTAAAAACATTGCCATGACCCTTTGGCACTGTGGGATGTGCTGTAGGTCTTCAAAGCAAAACTGCCCTTGAGGCAAGATAGGCAAATTGAGTTTTTCCTATGGCTTGGGAGGGCTGGCTCATGTCATAGAAACGGCTGTACCTAAAATAGTCTTCCAGCCACAAAGGTGCAGTGGGACTGATGTTTGGGAGTGGGGAGGCACACGTTTCCCACATCTCCCTCAAGAGATGCTGCCTGGAGCTACGACCCTTTCTCTGCCCTGCCCTATAGCCGTCTCAGCTTTGGGGTTTTCACTGGGGGTCACTATAGGAACTTAAGTATTTCTGTGCCTCCCTGCTCCAGCTCCCCATCGCAGAGCACCGGGGCTCTGAGGACAGTGGAGGATGCTCAGGTACTGCAGGAGTGGGGTTGTTCAGCTCGGCTAATTAGTGCTACTATTTCTGTCTCTGGCCTTTTCTCGGTTTGTATCCATCTGGGGCTCTTTGCAGTCATTATAGAGCTTTCCACCCTCTTGTTGGTTTTTGTTTTTTTTTTTTTTTTTTCTTTCTCCTCCGCTGTCTTCCAGATTTTTGCCACTGTTTCGTGTTGCTGTCCAAGTTATTTGTCTCTTCTGTCTTGCTCCGGTCGTGGGAACATTAGTAATGTTTTTCTGCAGAGCCGGGTGGTTTAGAGACCGCCTCGCAGACCTGACAGCCATCATCCTAGCGCTGCTGGCAAAAGGCTGGAGCAGCTCAGCCAGCCCCCGGGAAGGGGAGGAGGGGGGGGAAAACGATCCTGTTTACGGTTCATCACCATCTGATCTACCCACTGCTTCTCGCTCCTGCCTGGGACCCAACTGTGCCCAGCCAGGAGGGGAAGACGCCGTCCATCCCCGCCTGCTGCCCGCTCTCCCGGCGTGGTGGCGAAGGGAAGCGTGACTCACATGGGCCTCCCACCCATGAGTAAACCTTCCTGGTCTATCACGTCTCAGCCAGCTGGGGCAGCTCGGAGGGAAGGCGGCTGCTTCCCTGAAGAGGCATGAAATAGGTCACTCTGGCTCCAGGACACGGGTGAAACAGGGAGGGGGATGGAGGGGATCAAGGTTGCAAGACACCAAGATGCATGGTGGTACCTCCCACCCTACAAGGTGGGGGGCAGGCAAGGATGTACGCGTGGCGGCATGCGTGGTTTCTCCTTAAACACCATCATGAGTCCTTCCTTCTCCCTGCCCAAACCTGGAATTCTCCTTAAACACCATCATGGGTCCATGGTCCTTCCTTCTTCCCTGCCCAAACCTGGGATTCTCCTTAAACACCATCCTCAGTCCTTCCTTCTTCCCTGCCCAAACCTGGGATTCTCCTTAAACACCATCCTCAGTCCTTCCTTCTTCCCTGCCCAAACATGGGATACTCCTTAAACACCATCCTCACTCCTTCCTTCTTCCCTGCCCAAACCTGGGATTCTCCTTAAACACCATCCTCAGTCCTTCCTTCTTCCCTGCCCAAACCTGGAATTCTCCTTAAACACCATCATGGGTCCATGGTCCTTCCTTCTTCCCTGCCCAAACCTGGGATTCTCCTTAAACACCATCATCGTTCCTTCTTTCTTCCCTGCCCAAACATGGGATTACCCCTAAACACCATCATCGTTCCTTCTTTCTTCCCTGCCCAAACATGGGATTACCCCTAAACACCATCCTCGGTCCTTCCTTCTTCCCTGCCCAAACCTCGGATTCCCCTTGAACACCATCATCGGTCCTTGGTCCTTCCTACTTCCTGGCCCGAACCTGGGATTCTCCTTGAACACCATCATCGGTCCTTCCTTCTTCCCTGCCCAAACCTCGGATTCCCCTTGAACACCATCATCGGTCCTTGGTCCTTCCTACTTCCTGGCCCGAACCTGGGATTCTCCTTAAACACCATCCTCAGTCCTTCCTTCTTCCCTGCCCAAACATGGGATTCTCCTTAAACACCATCCTCAGTCCTTCCTTCTTCCCTGCCCAAACATGGGATTCTTCTTAAACACCATCCTTGGTCCTTCCTTCTTCCCTGCCCGAACCTAGGATTCTCCAAAACACCATCCTTGGTCCTTCCTTCTTCCCTGCCCGAACATGGCATGCCCCTTAAACACCATCATTGGTCCTTCCTTATTCCCTGCCCGAACCTGGGATTCTCCTTAAACACCATCATGGGTCCTTCCTTCTTCCCTGCCCAAACCTGGGATTCTCCTTAAACACCATCATCAGTTCTTTTTTCCCTGCCCAAACCTGCTTTTTTTTTTTTTGTTTTTGCCTGGGAAACGCACGGGGCCAGTCTGAAGCCAGGGAGGGAAGACGGGCGGAGATGGTGGGAACACAAAGTGGTTATGTGCTTCTCGGGGTGGAAAGAGGCCCAGGTTATTAAATAGCAGGCAATTTTAGCATGAGTTGTTAATATTAGTTGTTTGTACTGGGAAGTGGTGCCTAGGGGCTCCCATTGCACTAATCATGTAACAAAGCCGTGTTCCTCACACAAATAGCTTGTGTTTCAGCCTGCAGAGAACAAGTCGTCTCCTTCCCATTATCCCCCTCTTCGGAAAAAAAAAAAACCCAGTATGAAGATTGCACAGTCGAGCCCACAAAAATTGGGAAAGGAAAAATAAAATCAATGACATTGGGCTGTCCTACAGTGCTATGGCTTACACCCAGCCAGCCCGGTCACTCCATCACCACCTTGGTCCCACATCCCCTGCTCGTCCCCCACGGCTCCTTGCTTCATCCCCGACCCCGGCAGGTCTGGCCTCTGCATTGTTGGTGATTTTTTGTGTTGCCCTTGTGTTTAGGTGTAGTAATGCCACATCACCTGTTTGTGGTGGGGTATGTGTGGGGGGTGGGTTTTTTTCCTGCCTGCCTTATCGGTGCTGCATCCCTCTGTTGTATTTTCTTCAGGTCCCTCGGGTACATGCCCTTCTGAAGTAAGAAACCATTTTAATGAATTACCACTAATTCATTTACAGCCTTGGCACTAAAGCGCAGACTAAAGGTCAACAGCATCCGCTAATTTTGGACGGTACACACCACGACTGCCCTGCTATTTTTTTGTTCTCCTCAGGACTTGGCAGGATTTTGAGTTTTACCACATGGAAACACAAGTCCTCCTGCCCCCTCTCCCTGGGCTGTAGCTTCACGCATGCAGCTCTTCATCAGCCCCATCTCCAGTCAGGCTGGAGGACCAGAATTGTGCCCTGCAGCCCCAGCCCTTCCCCTACCACTGCTCACCTTGGCAAGTGCCGTGGCCCTGGTGCCCGACCTCACACCACCTGGCAGCATCCTCATCTGCACCTTCGACACAGCGACCAAGCACGGTGATGAACAGGGCAGGGGTCCCCATGGCATCTCCTGCCTTCTTCACCTTCATCCCGAGGTAGAGCCAGCTGGTGGAGGAGATGCAACTGAAAAAGTGAGCATGCATGGAGATGGTTAAAAGTTGTGGCATGACAGCATGATGCAAGGAACATGGAATGGATGTCTTTACTGCCTTAGCATTTAAGAGGTGGGAATCCCTCTTCTCCCACTGCCCACAGGTGGCTGGTAAGGCTCAGAAACGCTGCGGTCACCTCTAAGTCCCTGATGGACATGCTCCCCTGGTCATCATGGATCCTGCTACCCCCATCCCCACAGGCCTGCTTGTTTCTCTCACTGCTCCAGCGTGTCTTGTCCCATCCCTGCTGCCTACCTCCTGTTGGTGGAGGAAGCTGGAGGGAAGTTGCCGTCACCACCCCAGTCTCTACCCCCAAAAGTGAGCTGATGCTGGAGCACTGCCAGACTCTGGCAGGATTTGGGGTTGCAGCACATGAGATAAGGCACCATGGCCACCATCAAGACCCTGGTCCTGCTGCAGGGTCTCCTTCACCCCTACCAGATCATCCCAGGCCACTCCTCCTGCCCCACTGGCTTCTCAGCTGGGCATTCTACACCTCTCCCTTCCACCCTTCGTCCTTCTCAAACCTCCACCTAGATGAGAAAAGCTTTATAATGGCTGAAGAGTGCACCCCTACCAGATCATCCCAGGCCACTCCTCCTGCCCCACTGGCTTCTCAGCTGGGCATTCTACACCTCTCCCTTCCACCCTTTGTCCTTCTCAAACCTCCACCTAAATGAGAAAAAGCTTAATAATGGCTGAAGAGTGAAGGACAAAAAAAAACCCAAAACAAAACAAACCAATGAAAAAGAAGTTAAGATGAGCAAATAACAATGCAAGGTTACCTCCTTGGACTCGGAAATGTCTCACCTACTTCGGCGGAGGAAGGACTAGGGCAGAAGCTGACCACTGACAGCTCAACAGAGCAGTCTGGGTCTTGCCAACGTACCTGCAATGGAACCAAAAGGTCTTGAAAGAAGAACAGCTCAGCCACCTTAAAACTAAGCAGCGCTACAACTTCTTCTGTATTATTTGCCACAATTAACTCAATCACTCCACCCAAGAGAAACACTCACTACTAAATGCGGCCGGCTTTGGAGAAGGCCGCATCTAGTTCTTCTGCAGATCATGCAATAACCCCACCAGGGTGGACACCTACAAGAGTAACCCGGCCAGAAGAGCTTCTCTTCCTCCTTTGCAAGCCCAGAGTCTGTCTCTTGCAGCAGATTGAACCGGGTCCGTCTCTCTCCTCTCACACGGTTTATACCTGTGCGACACTGCCATTTTCCCTTCTTTCTCCACCCGGCCGCCCCCTCGGCCAGTTTTCTTCAGAGAAGAGGTTGAACGCCCTGTTTTGCTTCCCCCTGGGTTTTTAAGACGTGAATGAAGTGAAGCAACAGGCTGGGAAGAGGGACCAGAACCGCCAGCCACCAGGAGTGGAAGCGATACCCGCGCTGATTGCAACCAGGCCCTCCCGCCCAACGACAAAAAAATAAAACCAGAACTCCCTCCCCCAAGGAGATGTTTCAAAAGCTGAAAGCTAAGAACTTAAGTACAAAGGCTTTTGTGTTTTTATTGACATTGTAAGAAACATTTCTTTTTTTTTTTTCTCTTTTTTTTTTTTTTCCTTCTTTGTTACAAAAGAGCTAAGTGGTTCTGAAAGCAGAAGTACAGTTTGTATGTACACAGTGCTACAGACCCTTCAGATCAACCTAAGGCTCGAGAAACATCAGATCATAACTGCAGGTTTATCAAATGAAGACCACTAAGGCCCGTTACAGCCCAACACTATTCCTACTGTACGTAAATGTATTTACACATTTTCTTTTTTTTTTCTTTTTTTTTTTAAAAAAAAAGGATTACAAGCTTTATAAAAAAACTTTAAAAAAATGAAAAAAAAAAAAAGAACACTTTTTTTTTTTTATCTTACACATCTGCAGGACTGACAACAGTAACTGTTCCATAGGAGACATTCCACCAATCCAAGGACAATAACACCAGAGGTTTACAAGACGTTTCGGACACTATTTAACAGTGGTATGTGCTATTAGCTGAATGGCGAGTACAGCCTCATCGGGGAAATTTGGCAACACATCTTGGTCCCTCTCTTTTACAGGATCAACACAAAATAAGGCACATACATTGCGAGAATATGATGAACTGGGGCTGTTCAGAAGGACTGAGCCATTGTGCAACGGGTGTGGGCAAGCCAACCAGCCATTTCATCAAGGGGTGGGCAGGGGGACAATGACTGGAAGCCAATGAGCCAGCCAGCATCTTCATGCACGTACCATTTGGGGCCGTCCTCCAAGGGGAGAACGGCACCGTCTGCCATGTGGATGCATGGGGCCATCGTCCTCACCAGCGAAGCCCCCCTCTGGAAGCCCACTGACTGACTTCTCTGCAAACCCCCTCTTTTTCTCCACCTGGTGGGGGAACCTGAGGGATGAACCCTCAGGGGAGACCCCCCCACACACTTCCCATGGAGATAGGGGCATGCTTCACGTAGGCTGACCGAGGCGGATGCGCCCAAGGCCAACAGTAACGAATCTGAAGACCCCCGTAGAGCCATCAGAAGAAAAGGTGATTTAGACTCAGGCTGTGATGGTTTAAAAATAGGAAATTCACAATATTTTCTGCATTTTCTAGTACTCTAGGGGGAGCGGTGGGTTTCCACCAGCTATGGCAACGCCAAGTGATGTGCCAGATAGACAAAAGCAAGCTTCAGCTGTGTAACTGGAAGGGCAGGATAGAGGGGTGCCAGTAAACCAGTAAGCAATGCTGGGGGGACTTTCCCCAGACTGCCACGCATTGAGGAGGAGGTTGAGAAGTGAAAACTGGTGTCCAGCCTAACAGTGCCACACTCAGAGAGCCCAATCTACCTTATCAAAACAAACCCAAACCCCAAGATAGCTCTTGGTACCCTCACAGGTACCAAACCCCAAGCTCTTTAGCATAAACCAGAAAAGCATGAGAAGACACTAAATGCCAAAAAGTGGCACATGACCCTAAGTGGTGCATAAGCTTAACGGGGAAAATGATAAACCACTTGCACGAGCTCCCCGGGGACACAGTGAAGTCTCTGGTTCTTTAACTTTGCCAAATCAAACCGGGATGCCTGTCTGGAGCATGTGGTTTTGGCTAAGACATATTGTTGGCCCAAGACAGGGGTAAGTGAGTGACGAAGGTTTGTCAAATCCAGGAAGGCAAATTAGCTACTCAAACAGTCCCTTTTAGCCTTGAGCAATATGAATGGCTCCTTCTAAGCTCTGATGGATCACATCTGTTAATAGCTTCCCAGCTTCAATTCGACCAGCAAATACAATTATGAACTGGAAAATTGAGTTTAAAAAAAATAGGTTTGGGGTTTGGGTCTTTTTTTTTTTTTTTTAATGTATTGGCTCTATAACAATAAAAGGCTTCTCTCCCAAGCCACCTACTCCCAAGCTGGTCATAAGTCTCCCTGTTGAAATTGTTTATAAACATGTAATTGATGGCTTAATAAACAGCCAGCGATTGGTTACCGAGAACCATCTGAAACCCATCCAGCACAGCCTTTCCTCATGCATACGCTGCTGTTTCTCTGCAGGGATGTGAGCTGTATCATAGCACTGCCATCTTCAACGTGACCACCAGAGCATCCCTCCTTCCCCTGGTGACCTGCCCAGCTGGAGGCATCCCTCCTTCTCCCATCAGAAGGGAGCAAGGGACCATGGCAGGAGGGTCCCCCGGGCAGGGGCAAGGACATCGGGAGGGGAACCAGCAAAAGGCACGAGACAGAGGAAGGAAGAGATGCTTGCTAAAGACACGGAGCAAGACAGGAGCTGGGTGATGATAAGAAGCTGTAGGATATTTACATTTGTCTTGATTTCTGACATTCCAGCTCGCAGTGCAAATCACTGGGTACATGCTGTGATAAGCCCACATACGGCCCCAGCGCTGGATTCCTATGATGTTTTCCTACTGATTTACAGCTTCTTCCTCTGAGTCTAACAGCTGTTAATAGATCAATGTTATCCAACAGCTTCACTGAGGTTGTATTTCTACACATTCCTCAAATGCCATGCCCTGAATCAGCTGGTATTTCACCTTTTTTTTTACAGTCAAAAAAACAGAGCGCTATTTCCCTTCTAGCCTATAGAAATCACCTTCTGGTGCTGCTCCTAATTTTGACTGGGCTAAAGTTTATGTGTATTTCAGAACAGACCACACTCCTCCTTCTCATTGTATGTCTACTCTAACACCAGCTCCTTACAGACATCAAACCCATGACTGCATGTGCCTGCACCACTTACGTCCCATAGCAGCATTTTACTACCAGTATTTAACTGAGAAGTCTGCAAAGGCTGGACTTGCAGCTTCGAGGAGTGGGCCTTGTAACTGTTCTCCATCCCAACCTGTTCACCCAGGAGCACGGTGTGGTTGGAAGTGACCTTTAAGATCATCTAGTCCAACCATCAACCTAATTCTGATCAAAAACCATCACTAACCCATGTCTCTAAGCACTGTGGCAACCCGGCTTTTAAATCCCTCCAGGGATGGGGCCTCAACCCCTTCCCTGGGCAGCCCAGTCCAAGGCTTAAGAACCCTTTCAGTGAAGAAATTGTTCCTACTATCCAACCTGAACCTCCCCTGGTACAACTTGAGGCCATTTCCTCTTGTCCCATCGCCTGGGACTTGGGAGAAGAGACCAACCCCGGCTTCTCTACAACCTCCTACCATGATGCTTCTGAAGCCGTAACTGTGTGTAATGTCAATGGGTGTTTACTTATTTTAAAATATATGATCCATCCACAAAGCTATACGGCCTAAAAGGGAAGTGCAAAACAGTTCACCTGGAAAAGGAATCGTTACTGAGAATAAGAACCAGTGGCTCAGCAAATTACACCTCATTATTTTGCATCTCTTAAAAAAAAAAATCCCCAGTATAGAATACTGCAATTTTGTTATTTCACTGTATGAAATACTCCATAAGACCCTGATGGCCTCTCCACAAATGTGGTATGCAATGAAGGGATTATAGACTACCCAAATGGCCAAGCATGCCCATAATTTTACTATCCAGTCACTTAAAAAAAAAAAGGCTGAAAAACAGAATACCAAATACTGCAAAAGATGAGAGCTGGAAGATGGACTAAGAAGAGCTTTCTGGTCCTCTCCTTCTTCTGAAATGGATTAAGCATGACACAGTCTCACTATCATGATGCAAGGCAGTGACAGCTATCTGTGTGTGTGTTTACAAAAACCTTAAACATTCGCTAGGGATCAAAGGGCTGATGGGTTTACATTTCTTTTTTTTTGCTTTAACCTCCTAATTCCTTGTGCTCCATGACTCTGGAACTACCATGGCAGTGCATTTCTAAGCTGGTTGTCCACCTCAGTGCGATGTATCCCAAGCATCCAGAGGGGATTTCATCACTGTATGCTCACTTCACATTGTGCCTGGTTATTTTGTGCCTACACGTTTAGGGGGAAAAGCTGCGACAGTTTTCCAAGGTCTATAGTTGCTTTTGAGTGACAGAAAATTGCAAAGTCTTTCCATCAGACCTTTCTTTAAAAAAAAAAACCAAAAAACAAACCACCCCAAAACAAAACAAAAACATGCACTTCACACGTTTACATTGGTTTACAATTAAAAAAAAAAAAAAGGAAAAAGAAGCGTACAGACATTCAAAAAGGGGGGAGAGAGAGAGAGAAAAGAGAGAGGAGGGGGAATGGGTGTAGCAATACTGATTCAAAACTGAAATGGAAGACAGTTTCTCCCTAGAACACTTTAGGGTTTTCAGAGTCCTTATTCCATAAAAGGAATATACTTGAAACACATCCCATTTAGGTGAGATGAGATTGCTAAAATACATACACAACTAAAAAATATGAGTCTTTTTTTTTTCTCTTTTTTCCCATCTGTTATCTCCTAAGGGGTTTTTTTTTTTTGTTTTGTTTGTTTGTTTTGTTTTTTTTATGTCTATTGCATAACAGCAAGAAACTTGCTTTCTTCTGCAAGTGAGGTCAACAAAGAGCTCATGTCCCCAATAGCCATGTTGGTTGTGCTTACGGGCATCGCTGGGAATGTAAGAGACGCTCGGGGAGTGGTGAGGCGTGAGGAATTGCGGGAGAGGTTCTGAATGATGCTCGGGCTCAGGGCTCCCGAAATCAAGCTGACATGGTCCCCATCATCTATGATAGCATCGAAATCGAGCTGCACACCCTCTAGGCTGTTGCCGTCGATGCTGTCAACCGTGCTGGACACTTGGTTAGCCCCCGGGGAAAGAAGCTCGGATGAGTTTGGAGTCGCAGTCCCCTGCAGCAGGCAGGTAGCTTCCGAACCAAAGAAAGAACCTGTTTTCATAGCTTGGTGGCTAAAGCCCGTGGTTTGGTCATACAACTGACCAGAGTAATTCTGCGCGTTAGAGCAGAACTGCTGTGATTGACCTTGCATCTCCATCTTAATGGTGTTTACCCTGTAGGCCTGGTTGCCATCGCTTAGGTGTCCTTGCTGTTGCGCCAGGTTGTTCCTCAACACGTTTTGCCGTCTGCTGCCGCTGTAATTAGAGCATGGCTGGTAACTTTTGGCCACCAACAAACCTGAAGGCTGGCTACCAACGGCGTGAGACACTGGTGGGCAACTCTGTGGCCCTTGATACAGGCTGCTTTGTGAGGTAGGACTAACTTGCCCTAGCATCATTTGACCGGCTTGATTGACTCCCTGGTAATGAACGCCGTCTCCGACCGGTTGGTTGGGCAAATATTCCTGTTCCATCATGTTCCTGTTCTGCATCCCATTTGCCATACTGGTGGCTTGCTCGCTGGATGCCATGGGATGGCTGAAATTTTGCTGGTTCCCACTCACTGGCACGTTGCTGCTCCTCAGCTTCTGTCCTTGAACTGCCACGCCACAGGAGTTGTCCATTGCCCCGGACATCATTCCTTGCCTGCTGATGCTTTCTCTGTAAGGCTTATTGGGCTGCACGCTGAAAGAATTACCGGCCCCGCCGCCAAGAGCCGGGTTTTGCTGTAAACCATAGGAACCACCATTCTCCACCAGGTTCTGGTAGCCGTTCTGCTGGGCCAGGTTGCTTCTCTCCAGGTTCTGCTGCTGCTGGACCATCATATTGTTATACAGTCCGAAGGCCCGAGCCTGCTGCACCGCCGAGCGCTGGCCGCATTTCAGCTTGGAAGGAGATAAGTCAGAACTTCCCGAGCTTACTTCGTTCCACTGGATGGGCAAGTCGCTCTTGTTGGCCTCGGAACCTGCCTGCTGACCGCTGGGTGGTGGGGCTTGGTCAAAGCTGCCGGGGTTGCTGTTGTTTCCTAACACTGAGCCGTGATGCATCTTGTTGCCGTCTAGGACGCCGTTCAACAAGTGGTCGTACATGCCCTGGTTCTGGGAATTCAGATACTGAACCACGTCATCCGGCAGGAGATCCTCGTCATTCAGGCTGCCACCCGCTTCCATCGTAGCAGCCTCCAGGGCCACGTTCTCGCTGATGCTTGGAGGACAGGGGGAGCTGAAGCCGCGGAAGACGCCACCCTCAGAACGGGTGTAGTTCTGAAGGACGAGGTTGCGCTTTTCCATGGATGGAGGCAAAGCAGGAGGGTTAAAGCTATTAAGACTGTTGAAACGCTGGACTCTAGGGACAGAGAGGTTGTCAGAGGCTATTCTTACTGGATCGCTGGCTCTCCTCGTCCCGTTTCCTAGAGCATCGTGAGACAGAAAATGCCTCCTGCTGTAACCATTTGCCCCACCGTCACTACATCTTCGAGGGGCGTTCACTGGAGGCAGTGGAGATACTCCGGACTCCCTGCAGTCACCCAAGAGTGCCATCCTTGTTTTGAGGCTCATCCTCTCCATGTTGGGCAGTGGAGTTGGTGGGGGTCCACCAGTAGCTGCTGCGTATTTAGCTTTCAGCCTGTATTGCTGGGCCGGGGTGAGGCTGAGAAGACTTGGCAGGTCATCACACTGGCTCGCTTCGCTGGAGCGCCGGGAGGCATCCGTCGAGATGGGGTCGTAGGAGTCTGCAACACTCACGTTCTGAGGTCTGCCCTCCGCCTGGGAGGCGTCGCTGGACCTCCGGCTGGAGAAGCAAGGTGAGATTCCAGAGGACCTGCGGCTGCTCAGGTAGGCTGAACTGATGGTGCTGGTATTGCTGTCCCTCCTGTTCAGCATGTTCAACACAGTGATGTCCGTACTGGAAAGTTCGTTCCTGTTTGGCAGAATAGTCATGGATCCTCCTACACTGCAGCTGCTGTTCGACTGGGTACCTGGAGGGAAAATTCACAGTTAAAGAAACGGGCACCACCCAGAAACCCAAAACCAGAAAACACCCAGGAAAGAAGTCAGGGAGACCAGAGGAAGAGCCTGCAATGCCCCAGCAAATCACAGCAGTGCTCTTTCTTGAAAGACGTCGGGATAAAAACTGTGTCCCTTAGGTTCAAAGCTAATTCAGGGACTCCAGGGTAACATTTCAGTGTGAATCCCCAGCATAAAATTTATAGGCCATAGCCACAAACTGTCATCAGCTGGTGTAGTGCTCCAGCCTGCAGTGCAGCTATGCTGACTGATGTGCCAGAAGGACACATTCGTAAAGGGAGCTTTTTATAGGCAAAATATAATTGAACAGCCATTTGCATGGAATGGCAAAATATACAAATTGGAGGCTATTCAAGGTCATTTCTAAGACTTCTTGAAATATTCTTGAAATAACTCCGAACAACTGCAAAACATCTTTGCTGGTTTCCTTGTTTTGTTTTGGTTTTAAGTAAACAGAATACATTTCTTAATTTTACATAGTTTCTTTTGATTGAATGGGTTTCAGAAAACCTGGGCTGTCCCTGCTGGCTTGAGTGCAGAATCCTGCAGACACGCTGTAGGCCATGTAGAGGCAGCAGGGATTTACATATTTTGGCAAAAAGCAGCTCCTTGTATGAAAACAACTATGGATCTTCAGAATTCCATCTCACCTTGCTCCCATTCATAGACATCTGCCCTTTGTGGCAGCAGTATCTGTACAGTTTATTACTTACATACGTGGAAACATTTTATTTAAAGGGTAGCCCAACACATCTATGCAAAGAGTGACCTTGCTATGCCCTTTGTGGCAGCAGTATCTGTACAGTTCATTACTTACATAGGTGGAAACAGTTCATTTAAAGAGTAGCCCAACACATCTATGCAAAGAGCATAGGCCTCATCTGAAAGACTTCCATACAATAAACTGGCAGGTATTTATTTCATCTATTTCATTTATGTCCTTGCCTCAAAACCAGAGAGGATTACAATGATCTCGGGTCCAAATCTTTATCTATAGGGAATATTGAAATGTTCTGTAAAACATGGAACGATCTAGACTTCTCTCAGGATGGGCAATAGGACTTGTTATGACGGGATAAACAGACAGTGATCAATTTATGAAGCATTCCCACAGCTGCTGAGTTTCATAAGCTGCACTACTCATCTGCAAGGGTTGCAAGACTGAGCTAGCAAGCAAAGAATTTAAGGAGAAAAAGTGTTACCACTCCTGTTACGTGTATCTCACCATTTCCTATGAGAGGCGGCAAGGTCGGGGCTTTGGAAGGTGGAACGGGGTTCAGTCTTGGAAGCATTCCATTAACTTGTTTCAACCTTTCTAATTTCACTTGCTCCATCCATTTGGTCCCTGTCATATTCCTCCTGGCCTGTAAGCCAAGTGCTGTGGTGGCTGTGGAAATGGTAGAGTCCATGATTGGGGTTTCATCGATGACACTGAGGTCTCCTACACTACCACCACCGGTCAGAGTAAGCTCGATCCCATTGTTGGAATAGTTGCTGATGGGGGACTGTTCGCTGCTGCATGTAGACTGACCACCAGGGCTTGGCTGAGATGTCTGTTGGGGTGAAGGAAGAAACAAAAGAGCGTGAGGACCAAGCAAACAAAGAACTTGCAGTGAATGGGGGTCTAAACGGAGCCAAAGAAAACCACAAAGAACTTGCAGTGAATGGGGGTCTAAACAGAGCCAAAGAAAACCAAATAAGTGGTCGGGCATTGGAATAGGCTGCCCAGGGAGGTGGTTGAGTCACCATCCCTGGATGTGTTTAAGGGACGGTTAGATGGGGTACCGAAGAATATGGTGTAGGGGAGGACTATGTAGAGTAGGGTAGATGGTTGGACTTGATGATCCCAAGGGTCTCTTCCAACCTGAATGATTCTATGAAATGTAAAGAAAACTTTAGCATTAAATGATGGTGATCGTTCATTAAGGGGCTTCCTAGAATGCTGATTTTACCTGCAATGACTGCCACTGCAAAACTCACAATTAAAATCCACTTTAATATCTTGTTGATAGTATATTATATCTACAACAGACGCCTATTTCACTTATTCCTGTAATTGCTTCTATTCCTTCATGGCATTCATGGTTACTCTACTTGGGGTGGGTGCTGTTCCCAGTTCAAACTGCAGGTCAACAAACCGAATCAGAACTCAGCCACGTGACGAGCTCTGATTTACACTGCCAGGCCTGCAGCAAGCAAACAAATAAACAACACTGGAATTTGTTTTTTGTTTTTTGTTGTTTTTGTTTTTTTTTAATTAGACTTGTGGCTAAAGAATGTAAGTATTTTCCAGGCTTAAGGCTCATTGTTACGAGCAGCGGTCGGCCTGAAATGTTGGCATGTAATAAAACGGGGACAAAGCATCAGTGCAAAAATACTGTATCGTATTATCAGCATCCCGTGACCCTAGCAGCACGCTCTAACTTACACCATCTCTGCCTTTAATCAAGGAGGCGACGACCTACTGAATCAAATCCTTCGTTTCCTTAGAATTTAAATTTAAAAATTTAAGTCCACTCTACAGCCTGGGAATCTATGGGGATATAAACCACCACAACAGCTTCTTCTTTCTTAACAGACAGCGTGCCCTGCTGCTCTAGCAGAATTCTTGTTGTAGGGAAACAAGGGGCTTGATTTGGTTTTTATACTCATAAAGTTCTCCTAAAAGAATGGGAAAATTTCTCTGACGAACTGGAACACTCAGACAGACAGACTGACAGCCAAAACAGACAGCAAGACAGACAGAAGTCTCTGGACATAGGATCATACTATAGGTTGTATCCGTGGGACCACAAACCCGTGAGGCATGCAGTATCATTTTGCTCCCAAGAACAGTTTCATGTAAGTATTTGAGTTTTTTTCTTGGGGTGTTTAGATTATTTTTTTCCTGTCAGCCTGTGATTTTTTTTTTGCACATTTTTTCTGATGGACGGTGGCTAGAATTTCCAAGGTAGCAGTGAATGAAGACACAGATTCATGGCAACACTGTAGCTTCATATGCCCCTGAGGAGTCCATTAAGATGCAATAACTATTTTATTATTTCTAACTTGAACGATGATACTTAGAATTTATGAGGCCACACTGAGCTTGTTCATTTCCAAATGCCGGCCGCGCCACACTGAGCTTGTTCATTTCCAAATGCCGCAGCTGATTTGGTGACAAGAATAGAAACAACTGTTATTGTACAGAAGAGAGTTTGTGCTTCTGGACAAGAGCTCCATGCCATATGGTAATGGTCAGAAGCCTGTTCTTGTAGCCATGTGTCAAGGTCACAGTGAGGTAAGTTACAGAGGTAAGAACCGTATTATGGGGAATATACATTTCTAGATATGCAACACAGAAAACAACAAAAAAAAGGATGTCTGGTCTAGAGGGGAAGGTACAAAGACATTTCTGAAGACATTTCACCAATATAAGCCAGATTTTTCACATGTTAAAGTGTTGCAAAATGCTCACAAGCACATTACATTTGGGAATGAGTTTGATGGATTGCACATTACTAAATGAAGGAATGACTGGACAACAGGCAGAATGCTAAAATAAAGACATAAATAATGTTGCAATAAGAAAAAGAGCAGAAAAGTTAAAATGCCCTCACCTTATTACCCACTGTCCTTAGGAAGTTAGAACAAGACATTTAAGAGCATTAGACAGAAAAGACATTGGATTAGTCAAAAAACAGAAAATATATCTTAATTCATACAAACAGTGAAAAGCAGGAAATAAAGAATTGTTTTAGAAGATATTTTCCAGTGAGAAATACTTAATACTATCTAAGCAATCCGCACTCACACCCTTCTTCTGCCCAGTATATTAATGTGAAAACCATCTATGCTCAAGGCGCCTCAATAATGCTACAGATTTACCCAGCTAAGCATGAGGGGAATGGGTTTTGTTCCTTTGTCATCTAAGGTAGTTATCACCAAAGATGGCAGAGGATCTCCTTCAGACTTCAGTGGCAGTTACCTCTGCCCCCTCAGAAGTTTCTGAATCCAGGATTAATACTCCACAGTTTGGGCACAAGCCTTCGGCACAGTATAACAGTAACTCATATTTCAATGAGTAATCACTCTGAATTGCAGCATAATTAACAATATGAGCAGAATTTGGAGGGCTCACATTTGTAGTCCCCTGAGGGTCGGGTCCAGACGGATCGTTTGTCCAGATGTGGAAGAGGATGGGTTGACTGCCTTCGCTAAGTCTTAACCCTTGAGGAGGGGATGGATGGCACATGAAGTGCAGGCAAATGAAAGAAGAACATCTTTATTTAAGATAGCATGTCAAAAAATGGAATGGGATCCTATCAGCATTCAAGGCTATATTGGTTTAACGCAGTACATTAAGATAAACCAGTGAAAGGACCTGCAGAGACTCTTAATTAAGCTCGATTTAGTTAAATTGAAATTAGGTTAACTTGGTCAAGTTAAATTAAGTATCAGATTAACATAAGAGGTCACATCACAATAGAGATCAAATGTTAACAGAAGACCCCTTCCTGCTGTTTAAGAAAGTCAATTTATCTTGATTCAGTTTGATCCATGACCCAACAACCTCAAGCCCCTAAAATCTGATTGTTTCCCCAGGTTCTCCAAAAATTAGCATTATCAATATCATCATTTTAGTCTTTTGAATTTGGTTGGTTTTGCATTCTGGATTCGAGCCTGCAAGATTCACATTGTCTAACTCTCTTCTGTAAACAGGAGAGTGGAGAAAAAAAAAAAAAAGCCTTTTTAAAATGAGAACTGTGATTTTCTCACAATATGCTGATTCCAAAAGACGGAGCTTTAAGAGAAACAATTATTGTGAGAGTTGCCAACACTGCACTTACTGCGTATTGCACAGACGAGATGTAATCTTTTTATTTGCTATTTCTTGGGCTTTAGAAACTTTTTACAATGTAAACGAAAAAGAAAACCTCACAAATCCTAACCTTGTGAGTTGTGAGCTAGAGTTTACGGGCTGGAGCGTTTCATAAAGGGATTATTGAGTGAGTGGCTGCAAGAAGAAAGAAGGAGAGAAGGAACAGCTCGGGGTATTGCATACCATTGGTTTTTCCGACTTGACCGCCTTCACCTGGAGGCATTCTTCACGCTTTGAGGTAGTGTTGCTGAGGTCCTTCTGCTCACCAATTGCACCCTGAGTCTGATGGCCTGGTGACCGGGTCTGAGAGTGGCTGCCTGGGTCTCTGGGTGGTGGAGGCCTCGGGTGGATATCTCCCCGCTGCTTCTTGGTGACGTGCGCCTCGGGGCCGTGCACGGTCTTCACGTGTTTCCGCAGAGAACTGGGGTCCGTGTAGCGCTTCGTGCAGCCCGGTATCTTGCAAACATACGGTTTCTGCCCAGACAGGAAAAACAAATTAGATTTAATTCCACGTGGGACTCCTGAAGAGCTCCTTGGAGCACAGCTGGTGTTACAGTTATACGCTTTCACAGTGAATTTGTTATCTAATTTATGGTCTCTACGGTGACTGGACCTAGTCAAACCTATTAATTCCCTTTAGTTTTGACAGTACCCATTAATTCTGCATAATTTACAGAGGGCAGAGCCTCTCATCATACGAACTGACACAGCTTTGACTTATCATAGCAGAAGAGTCAACAGAGCTATGGCAATTTATGAAGACTGGCCTAATTTTCTATCCTGCCCATTGCCCCCAGCAGCCTCATACCCCGTTTCTAGTATGGCCAGTACCTGCTCCTTGACATTCAAAGGCAAACAACCCCCTTCAAACACGTTGGGACGTTTGTTCAGGCAGGAATACCTGAGGAAGCTTTTTTTTCCTGGCTCCTTCAGATCACCAGTATAATGACAAAGCACAGAATACAGTACCATAAGCTTTTGCACGTTGCAGCAACATATGCACTCGTACTATAAGTGCTATGAGCACAACTAATCACTCCTTGTTCTAAAACCCCACTTCCTTTGTGAATGTCTCTAAGCAATGTAGAATAAAGTAAACTTACTGTCTTATAATTCAGCAAAGACTTTGTTCTTGTATTATGAGAGGGTTACAAAGTAGAGTTGAGCTCTTCCTGAACACTTTTCGTTTCCTCAGGGAACAAAGTATCATTCCATCACTTTTATTACTGAATTGTTCCCAAGAAACTACTCTTTTAAAACCAAATTTATACTAGCCTTCAAGAATTAAGAAAAAAAAAGAGAACCTCATGCAGAGTTCCTCAAAGGTGTTCTCTGTCTGCTTACACATGGCACTGGGGAGCCTTTGATAAATGTAGCATCTTCATGGCCACCTAAGGCCTGAGCCTGTCTCCACTGATGTCAGTGGAAAAACACTCCCAACTGACTCAAAGAGGTGCAAAAATGTCGATCATGAGCAAGTTAAAGCTGAGCTACTGAGGCAGCTTTGGGAAAGAGGCAATGGAAGTACAAGTACTTCTACAAGCGTAAGGCACATCTGCATCAAGATACATCACTGCTTTTAAATCTGGCTGTGGGTTACCTACTTACAGCCAAAACGGCACTGTGAAGAAGTGCTGAATTGGGTCTGTGCTTTCCACAGTATTCATGGCACCCCATCAGTACACATTGCTTGAGAATATTAGTCTGTTTGGTTCTGAAATAACAGTGAAGGACATTTTTCATTTGCCCTTCCTGCTCCACCTACCAGAGATGATGTGCAGCAAAAAATTTTTCTTGGTGACTTACTGTTAGACATGAAAACCTGATCTTAAAACACAGGCAGTGTGGGCCACGTCTTTATGTTTGTGAGGATCTTACTCACCAGCTAGGCAACAAATGGACTGGTTCAGACAGTGAATGAAAAAAAAGCCCTCAACCTATTGGCGAGACTCGGTGGCCTTCCTTCTACCTTGATGACAATTCACAAAATTGCTGCTGGGCTTCTGCACAGCTGTTAGTCAGGGTGCTGAGAGCCCACACCACAGGGATGGGGTGAACTCAGAGATGTGCAACGCTCTCTGCTTCCCTTCTGACTCAAAAGGTGCTGGAGGGACCAGGGGACTGGAAGAAGATGAACACTCCCAGGAGATTTTGCCAGCCCTAGTGAATGCCTGCTAGAGAAGGATACAAGCCTCGTAAAAATGGATATAGCTGCTGTGGTTTCCAAAACACACAGTAACCGTGCTGGTATGTCCTACCCTTCCAGTACTTCCAGGGTTAGGCCAGAAGTGAAGGAGTATAGGGACAGGTCAAGGAGGAGAGCCTGGGCTCTGAGATGTGAGACTGAGATGATGAGATTCCCTGTGTAACCTGAAATGGGGCAATAAAACAGGAACAAGGCATGAAGATGGTGGCCTGCAGCAAGCAAACAAATAAACAACACTGGAATTTGTTTTTTGTTTTTTGTTGGTTTTGTTTTTTTTTAATTAGACTTGTGGCTAAAGAATGTAAGTATTTTCCAGGCTTAAGGCTCATTGTTACGAGCAGCGGTCGGCCTGAAATGTTGGCATGTAATAAAACGGGGACAAAGCATCAGTGCAAAAATACTGTATCGTATTATCAGCATCCCGTGACCCTAGCAGCACGCTCTAACTTACACCATCTCTGCCTTTAATCAAGGAGGCGACGACCTACTGAATCAAATCCTTCCTTTCCTTAGAATTTAAATTTAAAAATTTATGTACACGCTACAGGCTGGGAATCTATGGGGATATAAACCACCACAACAGCTTCTTCTTTCTTAACAGACAGCGTGCCCTGCTGCTCTAGCAGAATTCTTGTTGTAGGGAAACAAGGGGCTTGATTTGGTTTTTATACTCATAAAGTTCTCCTAAAAGAATGGGAAAATTTCTCTGACGAACTGGAACACTCAGACAGACAGACTGACAGCCAAAACAGACAGCAAGACAGACAGAAGTCTCTGGACATAGGATCATACTATAGGTTGTATCCGTGGGACCACAAACCCGTGAGGCATGCAGTATCATTTTGCTCCCAAGAACAGTTTCATGTAAGTATTTGAGTTTTTTTCTTGGGGTGTTTAGATTATTTTTTTCCTGTCAGCCTGTGATTTTTTTTTTGCACATTTTTTCTGATGGACGGTGGCTAGAATTTCCAAGGTAGCAGTGAATGAAGACACAGATTCATGGCAACACTGTAGCTTCATATGCCCCTGAGGAGTCCATTAAGATGCAATAACTATTTTATTATTTCTAACTTGAACGATGATACTTAGAATTTATGAGGCCACACTGAGCTTGTTCATTTCCAAATGCCGCAGCTGATTTGGTGACAAGAATAGAAACAACTGTTATTGTACAGAAGAGAGTTTGTGCTTCTGGACAAGAGCTCCATGCCATATGGTAATGGTCAGAAGCCTGTTCTTGTAGCCATGTGTCAAGGTCACAGTGAGGTAAGTTACAGAGGTAAGAACCGTATGATGGGGAATATACATTTCTAGATATGCAACACAGAAAACAACAAAAAAAAGGATGTCTGGTCTAGAGGGGAAGGTACAAAGACATTTCTGAAGACACTTCACCAATATAAGCCAGATTTTTCACATGTTAAAGTGTTGCAAAATGCTCACAAGCACATTACATTTGGGAATGAGTTTGATGGATTGCACATTACTAAATGAAGGAATGACTGGACAACAGGCAGAATGCTAAAATAAAGACATAAATAATGTTGCAATAAGAAAAACAGCAGAAAAGTTAAAATGCCCTCACCTTATTACCCACTGTCCTTAGGAAGTTAGAACAAGACATTTAAGAGCATTAGACAGAAAAGACATTGGATTAGTCAAAAAACAGAAAATATATCTTAATTCATACAAACAGTGAAAAGCAGGAAATAAAGAATTGTTTCAGAAGATATTTTCCAGTGAGAAATACTTAATACTATCTAAGCAATCCGCACTCACACCCTTCTTCTGCCCAGTATATTAATGTGAAAACCATCTATGCTCAAGGCGCCTCAATAATGCTACAGATTTACCCAGCTAAGCATGAGGGGAATGGGTTTTGTTCCTTTGTCATCTAAGGTAGTTATCACCAAAGATGGCAGAGGATCTCCTTCAGACTTCAGTGGCAGTTACCTCTGCCCCCTCAGAAGTTTCTGAATCCAGGATTAATACTCCACAGTTTGGGCACAAGCCTTCGGCACAGTATAACAGTAACTCATATTTCAATGAGTAATCACTCTGAATTGCAGCATAATTAACAATATGAGCAGAATTTGGAGGGCTCACATTTGTAGTCCCCTGAGGGTCGGGTCCAGACGGATCGTTTGTCCAGATGTGGAAGAGGATGGGTTGACTGCCTTCGCTAAGTCTTAACCCTTGAGGAGGGGATGGATGGCACATGAAGTGCAGGCAAATGAAAGAAGAACATCTTTATTTAAGATAGCATGTCAAAAAATGGAATGGGATCCTATCAGCATTCAAGGCTATATTGGTTTAACGCAGTACATTAAGATAAACCAGTGAAAGGACCTGCAGAGACTCTTAATTAAGCTCGATTTAGTTAAATTGAAATTAGGTTAACTTGGTCAAGTTAAATTAAGTATCAGATTAACATAAGAGGTCACATCACAATAGAGATCAAATGTTAACAGAAGACCCCTTCCTGCTGTTTAAGAAAGTCAATTTATCTTGATTCAGTTTGATCCATGACCCAACAACCTCAAGCCCCTAAAATCTGATTGTTTCCCCAGGTTCTCCAAAAATTAGCATTATCAATATCATCATTTTAGTCTTTTGGATTTGGTTGGTTTTGCATTCTGGTTTCCAGCCTGCAAGATTCACATTTTCTAACTCTCTTCTGTAAACAGGAGAGTGGGGAAAAAAAAAAAGCCTTTTTAAAATGAGAACTGTGATTTTCTCACAATATGCTGATTCCAAAAGACGGAGCTTTAAGAGAAACAATTATTGTGAGAGTTGCCAACACTGCACTTACTGCGTATTGCACAGACGAGATGTAATCTTTTTATTTGCTATTTCTTGGGCTTTAGAAACTTTTTACAATGTAAACGAAAAAGAAAACCTCACAAATCCTAACCTTGTGAGTTGTGAGCTAGAGTTTACGGGCTGGAGCGTTTCATAAAGGGATTATTGAGTGAGTGGCTGCAAGAAGAAAGAAGGAGAGAAGGAACAGCTCGGGGTATTGCATACCATTGGTTTTTCCGACTTGACCGCCTTCACCTGGAGGCATTCTTCACGCTTTGAGGTAGTGTTGCTGAGGTCCTTCTGCTCACCAATTGCACCCTGAGTCTGATGGCCTGGTGACCGGGTCTGAGAGTGGCTGCCTGGGTCTCTGGGTGGTGGAGGCCTCGGGTGGATATCTCCCCGCTGCTTCTTGGTGACGTGCGCCTCGGGGCCGTGCACGGTCTTCACGTGTTTCCGCAGAGAACTGGGGTCCGTGTAGCGCTTCGTGCAGCCCGGTATCTTGCAAACATACGGTTTCTGCCCAGACAGGAAAAACAAATTAGATTTAATTCCACGTGGGACTCCTGAAGAGCTCCTTGGAGCACAGCTGGTGTTACAGTTATACGCTTTCACAGTGAATTTGTTATCTAATTTATGGTCTCTACGGTGACTGGACCTAGTCAAACCTATTAATTCCCTTTAGTTTTGACAGTACCCATTAATTCTGCATAATTTACAGAGGGCAGAGCCTCTCATCATACGAACTGACACAGCTTTGACTTATCATAGCAGAAGAGTCAACAGAGCTATGGCAATTTATGAAGACTGGCCTAATTTTCTATCCTGCCCATTGCCCCCAGCAGCCTCATACCCCGTTTCTAGTATGGCCAGTACCTGCTCCTTGACATTCAAAGGCAAACAACCCCCTTCAAACACATTGGGACGTTTGTTCAGGCAGGAATATCTGAGGAAGCATTTTTTCCTGGCTCCTTCAGATCACCAGTATAATGACAAAGCACAGAATACAGTACCATAAGCTTTTGCACGTTGCAGCAACATATGCACTCGTACTATAAGTGCTATGAGCACAACTAATCACTCCTTGTTCTAAAACCCCACTTCCTTTGTGAATGTCTCTAAGCAATGTAGAATAAAGTAAACTTACTGTCTTATAATTCAGCAAAGACTTTGTTCTTGTATTATGAGAGGGTTACAAAGTAGAGTTGAGCTCTTCCTGAACACTTTTCGTTTCCTCAGGGAACAAAGTATCATTCCATCACTTTTATTACTGAATTGTTCCCAAGAAACTACTCTTTTAAAACCAAATTTATACTAGCCTTCAAGAATTAAGAAAAAAAAAGAGAACCTCATGCAGAGTTCCTCAAAGGTGTTCTCTGTCTGCTTACATATGGCACTGGGGAGCCTTTGATAAATGTAGCATCTTCATGGCCACCTAAGGCCTGAGCCTGCCTCCACTGATGTCAGTGGAAAAACACTCCCAACTGACTCGAAGAGGTGCAAAAACGTCGATCATGAGCAAGTTAAAGTTGATGCTGAGCTACTGAGGCAGGTTTGGGCAAGAGGCTATGGAAGTAGAAGCCAGTTAGCTCTATGTCAGTGGAAAAACACTCCCAACTGACTCAAAGAGGTGCAAAAATGTCGATCATGAGCAAGTTAAAGCTGAGCTACTGAGGCAGCTTTGGGAAAGAGGCAATGGAAGTACAAGTATCAGTGGAAAAACACTCCCAACTGACTCGAAGAGGTGCAAAAACGTCGATCATGAGCAAGTTAAAGTTGATGCTGAGCTACTGAGGCAGGTTTGGGCAAGAGGCTATGGAAGTAGAAGCCAGTTAGCTCTCTTCTACAAGCGTAAGGCACATCTGCATCAAGATACATCACTGCTTTTAAATCTGGCTGTGGGTTACCTACTTACAGCCAAAATGGCACTGTGAAGAAGTGCTAAATTGGGTCTGTGCTTTCCACAGTATTCATGGCACCCCATCGGTACACACTGCCTGAGAATATTAGTCTGTTTGGTTCTGAAATAATGGTGAAGGACATTTTTCATTTGCCCTTCCTGCTCTACCTACCAGAGATGATGTGCAGCAAAAAGTTTTTCTTGGTGACTTACTGTTAGACATGAAAACCTGATCTTAAAACACAGGCAGTGTGGGCCACGTCTTTACGTTTGTGAGGATCTTACTCACCAGCTAGGCAACAAATGGACTGGTTCAGACAGTGAATGAAAAAAAAGCCCTCAACCTATTGGCGAGACTCGGTGGCCTTCCTTCTACCTTGATGACAATTCACAAAATTGCTGCTGGGCTTCTGCACAGCTGTTAGTCAGGGTGCTGAGAGCCCACACCACAGGGATGGGGTGAACTCAGAGATGTGCAACGCTCTCTGCTTCCCTTCTGACTCAAAAGGTGCTGGAGGGACCAGGGGACTGGAAGAAGATGAACACTCCCAGGAGATTTTGCCAGCCCTAGTGAATGCCTGCTAGAGAAGGATACAAGCCTCGTAAAAATGGATATAGCTGCTGTGGTTTCCAAAACACACAGTAACCGTGCTGGTATGTCCTACCCTTCCAGTACTTCCAGGGTTAGGCCAGAAGTGAAGGAGTATAGGGACAGGTCAAGGAGGAGAGCCTGGGCTCTGAGATGTGAGACTGAGATGATGAGATTCCCTGTGTAACCTGAAATGGGGCAATAAAACAGGAACAAGGCATGAAGATGGTGTGATTCCTGCAAGAGGGGGGGGCAGCAGTAACAGGAAACACACAGTAATAAAGAGGTGTTATACCAAGAGTTTGGGGGACGGCTGTGACTGCCACAGCTGGTTTGCTTGAGGGAGATCAAATTCCTTTCACTGCATCCCTAG